GTGAAAACGAAGCGGTACAAGTGATAATGCTGCAGGATTTCATAACTTTATCCTTCTCAGCAGCAGCACTGCAGGTGCTCTCCATGACCAACATGTGTGTAAGCCAGGTCCTCAGTCAACTTAAAGTTGCGCACATTTTTCCTCTAAGTTTTCTTTCATAAATCCCAAAGTTTGCGTGGAAAGTTGCTTACGCAGTTTTCCGACCCCGTTTTGTGCGTAAGCAAGCTTGATAAATGAGGCCCCCAGTGAAATTCCATTAACCTGATTCAAGATGGCCGCCACAGCTATTAGCAAACACAAACTGGTCCTGACCCTGTCTATTCTAAAAACACAGAGGTCAAATTAGAAGCCGAGGGATGTTCACGGCACAGATTTGACGATTTGCTCTAAAAGGCAACAACTCATTTGTTACATAATTCTCTGCAGCCGTTAATTTATAATTCTTTCAGATTATTTTCTGCACATCAGTGGTTGAATTTAATAAATAAAACAATAAAGGGTCCATTAACATTCAACCAAACATTCCCGTTCTCTCAGGAACAATTCCTAAAACCTTCCCAGTTTTTTCTTCTTGCGAGCCATCCTGCTTATTATAATGCAGTCACATGTTCGGTGGTCCGCATTTAGCTTTGGACAGCGTCTTCGAGCATTTTCTTTAATCTCACATCACTGTTTGCCCCCCACACCCCCTCCAGCAGTCCTGGAGGACTTTAGCACCGGCTTAAAGGTCATTTTATCTCTCACCACAACAACGTAGAACATCAATAGACTGGAGCTCAAATCCTAATCCCTTCACTCTGGAGCACTTTCCCCTGATAACCCGCCGTGGCGCCCGTGCCTCCGCGTATTCCCACCAGGAGTCAAGAGGAGGAGGATCGGTTGTGCAGGGTGCAAGTGTGGGTGGTTTTCTGGGAGAGATTTGGGGGGGGGGGGGGGTGGGTGCAGCTGGTCGGGGTCACGGCCACTCGGTGTGCTGAATGAATAATGAAAGGTGCAGCAGACTGCCTGGTCTGAGGGGTGGGCAGGAGGAAGGCACGCCTTGTCTGGTTTTATCTCCCCCCTGACTGTCGCTGGTTAAAAACAGAGATTTAAAAAGTTCCTCCAGAACACGGGGTCACAAGCCTTCTCTTAACAAGCTCATTATTCCACATTGTTTTCGTCCTTTGCTCCTCCTCGGCGGCTGTGGCAGGAGAGAGATGACGTTTGATGTTCGTCTCTGTGAGAGCGCTGAACGGGGCTGTTGGAGAGGACTGGGCGGTAACGGCTCTGCTAATGATGTGCCCTTTGCTTGTGTGGATCCTTGCAGCAATGCCAGAGTGTGCATGAATATTCAAAGGCTTTGTCTTGGAAAACGAACCGGCCGCTCAAGGTCATTTTAGAGAGCAGCGGGACGCTGATGCTGCTTTTTAATCAGATTCCATCATCAGCGAGATCACCAGAACCGTCCTGGATCTTCCGGAGTATCGAGGCAGAACTCACCAGCTGATGTCTTTTGATCCGGTGCACACTTTTGTGGTGATTTGCTTCCTCTAACTTCAAAAGCAGAGAATTGTGTTAATTCAGCTGTTTTAGTCAGATCTCTAAGAAATTAGCTGATGTACCATCTGATGTGAAATCACTGGATTTGTGTTGTGGATGACTCTCCGCTAATAAATTCTGGCGTAAAATATTTAAATTAGACTAATTTGTCCCCACTTTGTGTGATTTCCTGTTGCAGCCATCTTTATTTAGGTTGACTCTAATAGTTAAAGGAGACATTTTGTGCAAAATTCACCTTTTTTATCCTTTGGTGCTTCTGTGTGGGTCTCTAATGCCTCTATAAACACTGCAAACATGAAGAGTTTGGTTTCAGGACGTATATGTGATATAGTTTGTGACATCACAAACAGGGAAAATTAGAATAGAACCACCTTTCACAAGCAAGAGAGAACTTCCACTGGAGGGTCAGCGGCTCTACTCTGAGCCCCTCCTTGGTATCGGCGTTTCTCTGCATAATGCAGCCTGAGTGGGAAATGGGTGGGCGTGGCCAGCTTCAGCTTGTTTCCTTAAAGTGATAGAGCCCTGAAACGGCTCATTCTGGAAGGTACTGAAACTGTTGAGAACAAAAACTCCTGAAACTGCTTTAAGTTAGGGGGATTCAGAGCAAAGAACTACATGAACACTTATGTCTCCTTTGATCTGCAGCATGATCCACTCATCCCATTCACTTTGGTGCGACGTGCCAGTGGCAGTATTTCGCATGCATTCATGTTTTTATAATCCATTTCATCATCATCGCCGTCGTCTTCCTCCGCTTATCCGGGTCCGGGTCGCGGGGGCAGCATCCCAACTAGGGAGCTCCAGACCGTCCTCTCCCCGGCCACCTCCACCAGCTCCTCCGGCAGGACCCCAAGGCATTCCCGGACCAGATTGGAGATGTAACCTCTCCAACGTGTCCTGGGTCGACCCGGGGGCCTCCTGCCGGCAGGACATGCCCGAAACACCTCCCCAGGGAGGCGTCCAGGAGGCATCCTGACCAGATGCCCAAACCACCTCAACTGGCTCCTTTCGATCCGGAGGAGCAGCGGTTCTACTCCGAGTCCCTCCCGAATGTCCGAGATCCTCACCCTATCTCTAAGGCTGAGCCCGGTCACCCTACGCAGGAAACTCATTTCGGCCGCTTGTATCCGCGATCTCGTTCTTTCGGTCATTACCCAAAGCTCATGACCATAGGTGAGGATTGGGACGTAGATCGACCGGAAAATCGAGAGCCTGGCTTTCTGGCTCAGCTCCCTCTTCACCACGACAGATCGGCTCAGCGTCCGCATCACCGCAGACGCCGAACCAATCCGCCTGTCGATCTCCTTGGATGTACGAATGTACATAAGCTCCGCCCCACTTTTCTTTACAATGTTCAGCAACCAGAACAGACACACGCATCATCAAAGTTTGCTTAGTTTGTTTCAGTCAGCTAAAAACATGAGAACAGGTAGATGTTGCAGCATTTGCGTGAAACTTCGGAGAAATGTTTTCATATCTCAGGACAAACGTTCCCTCTAAACAATTCATCACTGTTTTGCTGCACAGCAGAGAAAATCGATAGCGTAGTTATGTCGAGTAGAATTGAGCGAGTGTGAAATTGCAATCAAACAGAAACTATTAGCTTCAACCACAGAGACGTATGGTGTTTACAATCCATCTGAAATCCAGTTTACACAGTTATATTACTTGTTCCGTTTAAACTCTGTCATGGAGAAACGTTTTGGCTCTCGGCCAGCATTCCCGCTCGGTTTGTAACGGATTTAAGTTTTTCATTCATCAGGACCAACTCTGTCAGATTCATTCCTAAATTAACTTTAACAACCGTCCCCCGATGTCCTGATCGGGGCTCATTTGGGGGATTTTTAAAGATGGAAGGTGGGAACGAATTAAAGAGAAGTGAGAAAGCATCAATACCGACAGCAGCGACGCGCTTGTAAACCGTGCCAGACACAACACCTCCGAGGAGAAACCAATTAAACCTGTGGAGATTTCAATTATCGCTTTGATGGGGTTTTAGGATCAATAGCCGAGTCGTGGAAACTTGTTTCGGGTCAGAAACCTTCTTGGTTCCGTCGAATCCGAGCGGCAGACACAATCGGGAACATTCTGAGGTGAACTCAGTTCAAACATCCTCTGTGTGCTGTTTGGTTACAGGATTAAATGAAATGCCAGCGTCCAAACCAGAACAGAGAACACCTGAACTTACCCCCCCACCCCCCACCCCCAGCAGCCCTCTGCCTCCTCCCCCAGTTCAGAAGGAAAACACGGAGCCACTAGTGATGTGTCGGTCGCGAACGAACCGGCTCCAAGAGCCGGCTCTATGAAGTGAACGACGGGAGCCGGCTCGTCATTGGGAGCCGTCCCCTCCCCCCTCCCCTCCTGCTTTGGTGAAAGCTACAGGCGATTGGTCAGCATGTGTAACTGCGTGTCCAGACTGTCCACACACAGAGCAGTAGGGGCGGGGAAGAGGGAGCATCAGACTCAGACACACAGCAGAGCACATGCGGGCGGAGGGAGACGAGAGGGAATGAGGAGGAGGAAAAAGGCGAGCGAGAGAGAGGAGAGTGCGACGAAGAGGGGGAGAAAATGAGCGCCAGCAGTAGGGAAGTGGAGATTTCTTAAAGTGTTCAGTTATTAAATCCATAGAAATGATAAATATTTCATATATTGCATTTTTTTACATTAGTAAATAATTTTACATATAGTTTAGCATTATTTTGGTTATAAATGTACTCTACGCAACAGAAAATCTGAGGAGCCACTTGGGAGCCGAAAGAGCCGGCTCTCTAAAAAGAGCCGGAATTCCCATCACCAGGAGCCACACAGGAGCACAGAGCTCTTCCTGGCACACTAAACCAACGCTGAAGCAGACGAAGCGTGTTAAAGTTTGAGTCGGAGCTCCGAAAACCTCCATCAACCCCCCCCCCCATCCCTCATCTTCTGCCAAAGCCCCCTCATGCAGGTCTCAATTGCTTCCTTCCTCAAATTGAAAGTGACAAGCCACTCAGGCAGAGGTGTCTCCCTCCCCCACCCAGCCCCTCCATCAGCAGCCCCGCTCAGAGCCATCAGCCTGATTACATATCAGAGTATTTGGGGGGGGGGGGGGGGGGGGGGGGGGGGGGCTTGGGAAAAGAGATGTCCAGGTGGAGACAGACCACTGAACACATCGTCTGTCCTGCTGCTGCACATCTGTCCAAACTCACCCACCTGTCCCCGAGGCTGCCACAAAACCACTCAGAATGTCTCCATCACTGTCCCGCTGTCCTCCTGAAACTCTGCAGACATTTCCGTCTCTGCTTCCTCCTTCTCTTCATCTAATTACGTCTTTTCACATTTTACTGGTTTGTTTTCTTTTCTTTATCAAACAACCTGATTAAACGAGCTCCTGAACACACCTGTCGTTCACAGGGATGAAGGAAGTACAGGTTGTCTACCAAAGTGCTGATTTCCATGTCTCTCTTCTTCTCGTTTCCCACCAGGAGTCAGGCTTGGAGGCCCGCCGCAGCACTCCAGAGAGGTACGTGTTTACCACGCCGCTCCCAACGCCTGTTATCTACCGCACACGAGAAAGGAGGACGAGGAGGAGGAGGAGAAGTGATTGTCAGGATTGTAACTCTCAGCGAGTCCGATAACATCTGTGTGGAGAGGCTGACCTTACACTGTGCTATCAGTCACTTCAGTGATTAAACTCCCCCAGTCGAACGAGGCCAGGATCCTCGCAGGCGGAGGAACACCCACAGCTCGTTTTCTTTCTCGCTCACAAAACTTTTTTTTTTTGTTGCTGGATCATTTATTGTTTTCAGCCTTTATTTGATCTGATTTTAAAGGGATATTTTAGCCATCTTCAGGTGTGTTTCCTGATCAACCTTAGGTCAGAAAAAAGTAGATACTGCCCTTCAGGATCAACACGTTCTCACTCCCAGCGCGTCAAAAACAAACGCTTGGTCAGCCACCCTCCGCCTCAGACCCCAGACGCCAAAAGTGCCCTTTTTCGTTACTTATGTACAAAAAGGGGTTTTTCCCTTTTCTGACTGCAGTTCCCAATGCAGCGTAAAACTGACGTGATGGGACGTCCGCAGCCAGGGCACCAAACAAGCTCATTGTACCTCACCCTAACCTTATCCTCTTATTTAACCTTCCCCTCACCCCTATCCTAACCTTAACCATCTTGCTAGCTAACACGTTCGTGATGTGTCGGTCGCTCTATGAAGTGAACGGCGGGAGCCGCCTCGTCATTGGTCGAGTTTGGACCGAGCCAACGCGAGGAGGAGGTGTCATCTACCAAGGTGGAGGTTAAAAGTAGAGGGTATTTGTAACCTCCCCCTCGCCAGATGGTATGTTCTAACGTTCCCCTTGGGCGGAAAATACGAAAACTCAGTCAGAATGGATGGGAAACAGACGCTTGATCACAGTGATAGTAACGTTTTAGGTAGCAAGAGGGTAAAGGTTAGGGTGAGGGGAAGGTTAAATAAGAGGATAAGGTTAGGGTGAGGTACAACAAGCTGGCTCGGTGCCGCATCAGCGGATATCCCATCACGTCAGTTTTACGCTTCATTGGGATCTGCAGTCATAAAAGGGAAAAAACCCTTTTCGCACATAAGTGACGAGAAAGGGCACTTTTGGCGTCAGGGGTCTGACGCGGAGGGTGGCTGACCAAGCATTTGTTTTTGACGCGCTGGGAGTGAGAAGGTGTTGTCAGGATTGATGCGCTAACAGCTAGTTGCTGCCTTCTTAAAATATATTTACCATCATCTCATCATTGATTTGACTTGTTTTATCCCCTTATTGACGCTGGTTCTTCATTTAGCAATGGACCCAACTCCATAAAGGATTTTTGCCATCTAAAATTTTAGATATCATCACACCTCGTTCAGTTTTACCATGCACGGTTATTTCAGCAAAAACGATAAAGACGACCCAGCAGGTTAGCGTATTCTACAGTTGTCGTCACTGTGCAAGTGCTGCTGAGTCCTTGTGCTGGAAAAAAAACGCATTTACCAGCTGAAAGACCGCGGACAGAGCACGTGGACGCTGATAAAAACGATTTGACAAAAACTAAATGAACATTTTATGCTCAAACAGTGACTCGTTACTCACAGTGCTCACGTAAAACGTTCTCCAAGTTCTTTTTTTTACTCTTCGTTTATTATTTGTGTCACTACTTTTAACATACCTCCCACCTCTGGTCAAAAGCCTTGTGTGTCCACGTTTGGATGCTGTTTGGCCGAGGCTGGACCCCTTCGTTTACACCGCTGCCTCCTGGATAACTCCACATCCGAGAGCGTTGCTGGTATCGACTCGTCATCCTCAAACCTCCCTCCAGCAAATGTATGAAACAAATATACGCTTGATCTGCTCCACACTGTGATAATTCACTCTTTCATGAAAACACTGCCACCGCTTTGCTTTGTCTGTCTTCAACCTGGCCCACGTGTCTTTGCAGCTGTTTCAAGTGGTCACGGACCTTTCCTGGAAAATGGATAAAAAAGATGTCTGATCAGGGTAGCAAGAGTCCCATTAGGCCCGCCCCCAGTAGTGGTGCTTTGATCTTTATTCGTTTTAAGTATTTAGGAGACAAAAAACACAAGTTTGAGACGAGACGAGCGACTCAGACCCACAGGTACCCACACACGCTAATTTGTCTAGGGCTACATCCCATAATGCATTACCATGTTACATCATGATCTACTTTTAGCTACTGTGGAATTTATTCGATCCCTGAATGCACCAAAAAGGGAACTTGTTCACGCCATCGACATATATACTGGACAATTTGTGTCCATAGGCTCCAATGCTAAGTTTTTGTGCCAAAATGGGAGGTGGCCACCACCGCCATTTTGACCGTGTCACAGGTTCCGTCAAGCCCAGACAATTCCATAAAAGGGAAAAGAGGTGGAGCTGAGGGTGGGGCTGTAAGGCTGGGATCAAATGACGACACCCGTCGAACTGAAGCGATGTAGCTACAAGCTATAACACGGGGGTGGGAGCTAAGCTAATGGAGGTAGCTACCTAGCTACAACCGGAGTTAACTGTGCACAACACCGGAGCTTCTGAGTCAGAGATACGCTGGGCTGACCGCTGGGGAGAACAGGTGGAACACAGAGGTCTCAGAGAGCTCCACAAGCCGGCAGCCGCACAGCAGACAAGCGCCACTGCGATCAGAGATGCGTCGACCTGCCGCTGAGGGGAGGGGACCATACCGATAGTCAGAACCCAGCTCCACCAACATGTTATATTTGAACCCATTTTCTAAAGTGCAGCATTATGTTAAATGCACTGGGTTTTACCCTATTACATTTAAATTTCATGGTTAAACAGTACATGTTAAAATCTAAGCTCAGCTCGGCAGTGACCTAAAATACATAAATATAATTTTACTTACCAAACAAAATGAAGTGGAGACTCCTTGGATGCTCTATTAGTGCAATTAATACCACAGCAAGTCATTTTGTCCAACAATTGCACAAATAATATCCAAAAAAGAATGCACAAACACTACAACTAATGGTCTAAGGTGAGAGACTGAAAATGACGGAACAGTTTTAAGGCGAGGCCGAGGCTCTACTGAGGCCTTTCCACGGAGCTAGCTCTGTGGTCACGTGGGTCTGATGCTCATTAATTATACAGAATTTTAGGTTTTTAATACACTTAAACAGAAGAGTGAGAAAAAAATTCACCCCCCTCAGAGTTGTCATGAGTGTAAACTAGATCATTTAAACCAAAAACATGTTTTGGTACCAGGCTGTAAACATGTTTATTTCTGCTGTGAAATTGGTATTTTTAACATGGGAGTCAGTGAGGATTTGCTCGCTTCTGACACCAGCCCCCAGTGGATGACGATGGAATTGCAATTTATTTCACTTCCGTGTTTGCTTCATATCCAGACCCGAATTATGGGGTTTTGGTTTCCGCTGATAGATAATCGCAGATGTTCATGTAAATGCCTGCGTGGAGAATAAAGGTTTATTAAAACGGTAAGTGGCCGAGCAGAAATGTTCCTTGGTGAATTTGGGAATTTCTCCTAACAACAACAAGCTAAAGTGGCCCAGAAGCAGCTGTAGAAAACCCTCGTTAGTTTCACACGTGCGCATCTTTTTACAGACTATTCCGTTTTGGTTTCATATGTCTGAATGTTCTGTTTCTAAAACATATTTGTGCCTTTTAAACGATAAAAACAGGCATTAACCACGTCCAGTGGTTTCTTCTCTCAGCTGGCTCTTCCTGCCGCTTCTTTACTGGATCACTTTGTTTTGTATTTTTGAATCAGAAGGTTTCCCCAGTGCCGGAGTACCGACACCACTAAACATGCTAATATCTACGTTCACAAACCGGATTTGTGTGACTTTATCAAAACCTGAAAACCTTTCAACAGCTTTATCCTTCTGTTAGATTTCTAGCAGAAACCTTGTCTGTGACGATTAAAAATGTAACTAAACATAAAAAATTGAACAAATAGAAACAAAAACTCTGACGTTTTCAAGTTTTCAAGGTCCAGGCAGTAATGGAGAAGGAGGAGAAAGCTTGCTGATGATTCATAAACCAGCGTTTTATGTGCTTTGTTCGCGTAACCGACCCCCTGATTTCTCTTTTCTCTGCTGTGTTCATCAGAACCAAGGAGAAACGTCCTAAACAATAATAAAAACCTGGTGATCTGCTGTGTGGCTCGGAGAAAACGCTCCGTTTCACCCCTCCAGATGTCCCTGCAGAGGAAAGAGCGTGGCCTTTAAAGTCAGAAAGATGACGACGTGAGATTTACGACGGCCCCGTCTGTTGTAAAATTTAAATTATACATCCCATCCAATGGCTTTATGACGCCATCACAGCATTTAATTGAAATAAAATGTCAGAATGTGTGATGGCCTCAGCCGTCATCTGATGGTAATCAGGCAGTAGATGATTGTAATTGACATTCCCCATTAGGTGTTTATAAGACGTTTATATGGTATTACAGTTGGGTTTATTGATAGGTCATGGATGCCATCAGCAGCCTGACATTTGCTTTTAACTCAGTTCTACTTTTGTTTAGGCTGTGGTGAAACAGCACCACCAAGTGGTCGGTTAGAGAAGGAAACGTGTTTCTGAGACGAGGATCTGAATGTTGATGACTGTGAGATCCGAGTGGGTGGGCCGTCACCTGGGAATTACCGGAGCCTCAGGAAATATCCCAGCTTGGATTTTATTTTCTGATTTGTGCTGTTAGTTATCTGTTAGATGTTTTAGTCTAAATGACCTCCAAATGCAAAATAGAAGAATGCATCTGCTTTCCAGATGCATACAAACATCAGCATTTGCTGCACGAGGCTAAAAGGACAAGAAGAATATTCAAGTGGAAAGTTTAAAGGTGTGGTTAACAGAAAAAAATTTTTATGATAATTTCGGATTCCAACGGGTCACACTGAGTTTTTCATGCAGGCTGAACATGAAGATAGTCTCCTACACCTATCTCCTGCATCAGCTTCTGATACAAAACAGACGGTGAAACTCTAGGATTAGAAAATCCTGACAGATCTACGTCACTTAACATTCATGGACTCACCCATCTTGACTCACGACGGGGAAGGCTGTTGTTGGTTTAGCGTCCAGGAAACAGCAGAGAATGTCTCAGCTAGTAGAAGCTAACCGTTAGCATTAGCTACTCCACCACACAGCAGAACTCCTCCTGGCTTGTGTTATTTGTGGCGGTCAAACATTAGCGTTGCCGAGCAGACAGAGTCAGTGGCAGAGTCATGTTGCTGTTAGCCAATCAGAGGAGAGATAGCCAAATATCTGGAAGTAAAACTTCCAATCCTGCCATCTGAAGCTCAGCTCTGATCTCCTGTAACAGGAGCACCAGAGCTTTGTTTCCCCAGAGTATGATTTACAAGGCATTCATTCCTACTAGAGACCACAGCAAATGTGCTGAGTAAATGAGTAAACTACACATTTAAAGGGGCATTGTGGAAGTTTGACAGCCAAAACATGTATAGAAATAATAAATGTCTTCTTCATACGTTCTCCTGCAATGCCCTGGTCCTGTAGAATGAGTCCTGGCATTTTACTGTGATTGCCTGTTTTTCTGTAAAATCACAGAAAAAGAGAGATGCTCGGGTCGAGCAGGCTGCTTCATGCGCGTTCACGCTCAGGCATCGCCCGTAGCATTTGCTATCCGTAGCTTTAGCAGCAGAGAGAGAGGCAGTGCCACTTCGTCGCTGTTCCTAACGCCTAGTGACAAAGCTAGCTACATTTCTGAGGACCCTTAGCTACTTTCTGTAGAACTTTCTTCTAGATATTTCCTGTAAATTAGCAACAAAATAGCCATTTTCACTCCGAACCGTTCTTTGAACGTTGTTTCAACAATCATCAAGGATATAAATGTTACAGATACAAAAGATGTGATTGGCCCTTTAGCTCACCTAGTTAAACGTCGGACTCTAGTGCAGAAGAACCGGGCTCAAATCTGGATGAGAACATATTTATTGAGAGATTATTTTCTACATTAATGGTATATTTTTTACAGTAAGATGCCCAAATTTTTATCTGAGACTTGCCGAACGGCATTGAATTCACAGATTAAAAAAAAGATGTGGGTTCAACTTTCATTTTGGAACAATTTTTCAAGCAAGGGAAGGGAACGATCTGAGCATGCAGGAGGACTGACCCATCATAAACCTTTGTCGGCTGTGCTGAAGAGAAAGGTACAGAACCAAATTATTTAATTAATTAGCTGCGCGTTTTCCTGTCCTCTGTCCTCTGGGCCACACACACACACGGGACTGTCTCAGCTGTTATTTTCGTTAAGGAGTGTGCACGAACAGCATGCGCGCCTCGTGCACGAGCCTACTATTGAAGCTGCCGTTACGCTTTTGGCCTGAGGGGGCAATCACGAGCATAAAAATTCAAAACTCCGTAAAGTCCCTTTAATGCTAAGTTCCACTGACAAAATTAACTTTAATAAGGAGCTAAAGAAGATGTTTGAGCATTGCTAAAGCTAAATGAGGAATAAAAACACTTCCTCTTTCTGGAATCTCCACGTTCTTCCTGTGTTGAAGAGCAAAGCCGTAGAATTCCATTCACAGAAGTCGTCCTGGGACTAGTCAGACATTTAGGATGTGGGTCTGAAAGTCTCAAAGTCTCTGCTCACAATCACGGTGCTTTATGAAGCACGATTAACTTTTTTAGTTAGGAAAAATGCCCCACTTGTTTACAAAAAGGGGGCGGGGCCAGGTCTGCAACCACTCAGCAGCTCCAAAACTTTTATCATTAGCCATTTTCTTGACCAAATTTCTGTCATAAATGTGTAAAATTTCTTCTGTAGAATAAAGACACAATTTCTCATCATTTCAGTAACAGAATCAGCAGAAAAAGAAGTTGGTTTGTTAGCGACGCTTCCAACGTTGGACCGAAACAACTGCAGAGTTCTCGATAAGAAAGTGTGATTTTTTTAATGAAACTTTAGTTTGATCTTTTATTATAGTCCAACAATAAAAAATAACAGAATTGTATTCATCATTTCATCTTAATTTCACAGGTCAAATAAGGGTTTCTTCACTAAAGAAGCTTCAGGGTTGTGTTCTATTCCTTTGGTTCTAAAAGTGTTTTTGTTTGTTTGGCCTGCTGATGTCACAGTCACTTTGTGTTTCCATTGGTTTATAGGGTCCCTCCAACCAGGATCCAGAGAAGAAATGCAGCAGGGATCAAAGTTCAGAAGCCAGCCCCATCGCCCCGATGCAGCGGCCAAACTTTGAGAAGATCAAACAGAAGGACACAACTGTGGCCCAGGAGCCGGACATAGGCTCCCCCCAAATCACCAAAAGACAGCGCAAACTGCTGAAAACCAGCCACTTGAACCTTCACTCCAAAGGTGGGGTTCCCTTGCCTTCCTCTGCAGTGTCCTCCTCCATCAAGTCCAGTTCTACTCAGCAGGAAAACCTGGAAAAGCTACAGAGTGTCATCGAGACGCGGAAGCATCTGATGAAGGAGATGTGTGCCAAATACAAAGGCAGCATCTCAAAGACGATCACACCTGATCACGTCAAACAGATCTTCGTGGAGGACAGGAACAAGCTGCTGTACTGCTCCGTGCCCAAATCTGGCTGCTCCAACTGGAAGAGGACCTTGATGGTGCTGTCGGGCCAGGCGTCCAACGCCGAAAACATCCAGCACGACATGGTCCACTACGGCGGGCACATCAAGACGCTCAACATGTTCAACCAAAAAGAAATCATGCATCGTCTGGAGACCTACACTAAGTTCATGTTCGTCCGCGAACCCCTGGAGAGAATCGTGTCGGCCTACAGGGACAAGTTCGAGAATCCCAACGAGTACTACCACAACCTGTTTGGGAAACCCATCATATCCAAATACAGGGTGATGCCATCGGAAGAGGCCCTCAAAACGGGCAACGGGGTCACGTTCGAAGAGTTTATCCGCTACCTGTTGGACGTCCACCGGCCAGTGGGGATGGACATCCACTGGGAGCAGGCTAACCAGCTCTGCCACCCTTGTCTCATCCACTACAACCTCATCGGGAAGTTTGAGAACATGGAGGAAGAGTCCAACTTCCTCCTGCGGACGATCGGGGCGCCGCCGAGCCTCATGCTGCCTAGTTTTAAAGACAGGAACCCAAAGGACGCACGGACCTCTAAGCAGATCACAGAAAAGTACTTTTCACAGGTGACCATGATGGAGCGGCAGCGAGTGTACGACTTCTACTACATGGACTACCTGATGTTTAACTACTCCAAGCCCTTCAGTGATCTTTATTGATGGACTCATGTCACGGTTCTTCAACCAGTCACATTCCACCATGTCTACATTTCCACCATGATGATAACCATAACACACACACACACACACACACACACGCTTACCTGGCTCTCAGTAGAGGTGCTCAACAAGACCAAATTTCTACTTTTAACAAAATTTTTGCCAGATTTCTGTTTTTCTTTTTTCTTCTTCGAAATAACTTTATTCTAGAGAACAATCACGTTAATTACACGTACCACAAAACAAAAGAAAAATGGTGTTTAGTTGATTATTTCTGTGATGCAAAAAAGATTTTGGACAAAAAATCTGAAATCACTGGAAAGCCGGATTAGTCAGCCATCGTTATGAGGTTGAACTTGTAATGGAATTAACTGGATCTTCTGTTGGGATTCACTCTTCTTCCGGGCTTTTGGAGCTACCAGTGTGTTCCAGGTCCCAGGTGGATGCATGGCTCCTGATGGACAGCTTTGGGTGACGAGTGAGGTGCTTTCCACAGAAAAATGAGACTTAAGGCCCAATCCCAATACTCCCACTGCACCCTAAGGGCTTCTGGGAAGTTCACTCGGAGGAAATGTGCAGTAAGCCTTCGCGTCCCAGGAATCTGGTCGCTGTGCTACTTTAAAAAAAACTTTATTAACAACTTTAAAAGCCAGACAATTATTTGAAATACATTAGCATTCATTTCTGCTTTGCCTAAAACATTCTGAGCATCAGTCGTCCTGAAATGAGCAACTTTCATTTGAAAATACACATTTTCAGAAAAGGCATTTGAGTCTTTTCTCCCGCAGCAAAGGATTGTGGGCAATACCTGCATTGATGCGGACTTGGGTGAAGTGCGGATCAAGGGTGCAAAAGGGGTGTGGTCAACTTCTGCGCTTGAGAATCGGGTCATCCTACGCACTCGCACCCCTGACCGGGACCGTGGAATTGAGGGGCGCGAGTTTGGAAGTGTGAGTGTTGGCATTGGACCTAAACTAGAGACAAAAGACGTTTGCACACACACACACACACACACACACACACACACACACACTCACACACACACTGCTTTCTCCTCTGAGCAGCTCCACAGAGCATCTGGCTGTCGGCCCACTGGGGTGAGAGCTCCAATGCAGGGGACAGGGACGCACACACACACACACACACACACACAAACACACACACACACACAGAACTCTCTCTCTCTTCTGCCCTTCTCACTGAGCGGCAAGTCTGTGCTACAGAGAAGTTTACTGAACAGCACCCCCCGCTGGCTGATTTCACCCACCAACTGGAGGCAGTATGCCTAATTTCAGCCGGCCAATCAGTCTGTAGCGTCACCTCGGTCCCGGTCGGACCGCTGGGGAGGAAGTCTGACAAAAAGAGTCGCCTCGGACTGAACAACGCATATCTGACCCATGTGTGAAACCAAATTCTGGTTCCGTACCGGTCCCGTACCCGGCCGTGCAGATGCTAATGCGTAAGTGCCATGACATCAGTAAGAGGAGTCGTGATGTTGGCAAGCATAAGGGGGAGGGGCCAAACTCCACTAGTCCCCCACGGGTCGTCCAAACCAAAACCAAATGATGAATATTGGTTTTTTTTTTCTTATATTTGTGCGAAAGTGAAATCAGGAGAATGCTGCAAGGCCTTATGGGATGTTTTTGGGTGGTGCTACTCACATGTTAGGCTGTTCTGCTCCTTCCAGTGAAGCCCATTCTAGCTCTGAATACGAGAGGCTAATCAGGCTTTTCAGTGATGTGAGATTTCTTTCACAGAAACGTCACGACAAGGAAATAAAACCTATTTTTTAACCTTTAGTTTTAACTTTATCATGCTCTCAAAAACATATTTATTCTGTATTAAAATGTAAGAAGTTTGTTTACTCTAATCGGACTTAATGTAGCTCACGTTTAGGGACCAGTTGGCTAAAGGTGTAAAATCAGCTCAGATCTAATGAATCTACACCCTTCTGCATACCTTCTGAGTTCCCGACCCCAGTTTGTTCAGTTTGTTTATCATCTGAAACCATTTGACTCACATCAGTATTACCTCTGTGTGCCAGTGCATATAATACAGCTCATCTGTGTAAACGGCTTTATTAGATATATAAACAATGCCAGAGTGAAGCTCTAAGGAGAGAATAACGTGTTAAAAGTGCTGCCCGTTCAAGAGCTGTGTGCACTTATTGTAGCATTTTTTTATATTTCTTACATTAAAACTAAAATGTGTAGTCGAACACACACACACACACACACAGGCTGCAGGTCCTTCCTGACAAAGTATTTTACAGGATTTTTTTTCCATTTAGGTGTTTTTTTTGTGTCTAAATTATGAACAATTCCTCTGACATGTTGTAGGTAGTTTTCTGAATAGCCTCTGTTCAGAAAATGGAGATTAGGTTCTTCTGGACTGATGAAGGTTGACTTGGACTAGCCTTTAGCTTGTTAGCAGGTCCACGTGCTGCCAGTTATGCTGCTGCTTTAAAGACCAAGTTCACTTGTTTTTATCACAGGGCTGCCAACTCATACACATCTGACCCCACGCCACACCCCTAGTTTCTCACACTGAGTGCGTTTACATGCAGCCAGTAACCCTTTTAAAACCCGAATATTCACAATAACCCGGTTCCGCACGGCCATGTAAACACCGCCAAAAACCCGGATATGCTCATAACCGGGTTTTACCCGGTTACTACACCTGGGGTAACCCTTTTCTAACCCGAATGTTTGGTCGTGTAAACGCATACCGGGATATCCCCATCAAAGCGTGTGTTCTGCGCATGCTCTGTTTGCAAGGAATCTTGGTCTTTTGAGTAGCGAGACGTCTTGTATGCGCCAGAACACCGGAAGTAAACAACAAGTTGGGAGCAAGATGGCGAGTCACGGCACAGCACCACACTTTGAGTGACGAGGAAACTAAAGCGCAAACAAACGCGGTCGCTATCTCTTCCGAACTGGGAAACATGTTGTTGTTTTCACGGATACCGGAACAAGAAGAACCGGAAATGATGCATATTGCGTCTGGACGTAGTCCATACGTCCAGACGCGACCCCAACGTCCGCATTTAAATCGGGTTATGCAAGTTAGAGGTAACTCTTTCTATTTATGCTTGTAAACGGGTTATTCTGATCAACTCAGAAACCCGAATCCCGACCTTAACCCGATCATAACTCGGATATTGGCTGCATGTAAACGTAGTCACTGAAAAACACACCCCAACCCCCTGCCCTCACAGACAGCAGAGGGAGGTTGCCCCCTCTCTGAGGGTAAAAAAAAGCTCTGGCACTTCTGTTTCAGGAAGTAGAAGTGAGCCAGAGCAAAGGTGAGCTCAGGCAGCAGGATTTGGGGACTTATTTCCTGATATTCTGAGATCTCTCCTCTGATTGGCTAATAGCAATACCACTGACTCTGTTTGATGTTTTATCTCCACAAATAACACAAGTCTGGAGGAGTTCTGCTGTGTGGTGGAGCTGCTAATGCTAACCGTTAGCTTCTACTAGCTGAGACACTCTCTGCTGTTTGCTGGAAGCTGAACCAATAACAGCCGTCCCCGTTGAGTCAAGACGGGTGAGTCCATAAATGTTAAGTGACAGTGTGACGTAGATCTGTCAGGCTTTTCTAATCCTATTTTCTATCAGAAGCTAATGCAGGAGATAGGTGTAGGAGACTATTTTCATGTTCAGTCTGCATGAAAAACTCATTTCAAACTATTTCTAAATAACAACATGGTTTATCTGTGTGATTCTGGGCTTTGAACTTGCTGGAGGTCTACACCAGCATCTAGGTTACCACTCCGTTTAAAACGCATCTTTTTGTATCACAGTGCATAAATCCATAGATGAAGAACATTCAAGCTCCTTCATAATATGTGTCTATGTCCATGGTAAATGAATTTTGATCTGATGTTTCATTTTCAGTCGTTATTTCTTGCAGAAATATTAAGAAGTTCCTGCAGGACTTGGCTCCTGGATTCAGCTGAAGTGCTACACTTAGCCTGACCTGCCAGACTCGCCCTCTGATAACGAGTCTGGTTACTGATGAAGGGCGGGACTAGCAAGCTCAAAAATGACTAATCAGATAAAAGGAGGAAATGCCGACTGTACCTAACAATGCTGAAGTTTTTATTTATTTATTTATTTATTTTTGCTGTAGTCAAAAATGGCGTCTGGCGACGGCGCAAACATCTTTTTCAGAAGAAAGGCTTTTAGCGCTTCCTCTTGTCCTGGTATTAAAGACGTATCGAAGTCATTTTGAACGGAGGAAAGAGCTGCAGCGAACTCCGCTTCAGCCACCATGTTTATGGCAAGCTCAGCGTTGTGGTGTGTGGCGTACGCTGCTCAGCTCTGATTGGCTCGGTTAGGGTTCTCAGGGGGTGGGAATATTGAATAGGAGAGTTCCCAGACCCGGAGAGCAGGCTTGTCAGGCTACCAAAACACATCAAGATCTGCAGTTCCCATCGCACCAGACAGGAAGTCAAACCCAAAATCAGTGTAAAACATCTGGAAACTTTCAAAATAAAGGTCACGTGCAGTACAGAAACTCCACTTTTCTGAGCCAAGGCTGTTCAAGAAGCTATCTAGAATGGTTACGATGTGAATTATCTTCCCCTTTACCACAGAAACGGACTTAAAAATGGCTGTAATATCTGTTTGAACCCAAGTACACGCAGGGTGCAAAGTGTTTCTCTTTGGTGGTGCTGACTCAGCAGTCATTCCCCCCTTCCCCGGTAAAAAGTGAAATCGGTTAGCAAACACAAGAATGAACAATTATTCACAAAAAGAACGAATTGGTTTAGATTTTCCTGATTCGGTGAACAGAAGAAGACGTTCTCGCCGTCTGCAGCTCCTCTGTGCGCCTCACGTGAAACCTCGCTCTGTACAGGCTGCTTCCTCACTACTGGGTATTGTATAATGGGCATTCAGATGACTATATTTTTCTATGTATTTCTAAAATCTACATGAATATAAAGTATATATTTAGTGCTTCTTGGTGAAGGTATGTTAACTCTATTTGATGTCGTTTATCTCTCTTTCTAGTGTTCAGTGTGTGTCACAAAGGAGCTTCTTTCCAAATGAGAAAACCCGCTGGTGGGGAAGTGAAAGTGGCGATTTAAAAGGAAAACGGACGTTTAAACATTTGGGGAAAAGCTTTTTTGTTTTTAATTATCTCTGATCTGTTTGGACTCTGCACAGAAATGAGCTACATCCCACCCCCCCACCCCCGCCCCTGACCCGTCCTCGCTAACCCAAAACCGTCCATTACTGAGACGTCTAAATGAGATTTTTAGACCTTTTATACACTAATCCTGTCACCTTTCCAAGTACGCACCACAGCTACAGTGCTGCTTCACTCCCAGCTCTCTAATCGAAACAGCTTTTTGTTGTATTTATTTTAGTTCATGCATCAGAATGAGGTGCACTGGCAGACCCCCGCTCGTGCACGCTGTTAGAGTTCAGCGGCGAAACGAAACGTGAGCTTTAACGTGACGGAAATGAGACTCTGATGAATTCGGACGAAAGAAAACCTCGTTAAATTAGCATCGAGTTTAAATTGCCTTAATTACAGCTCGTTGTTGCTGAAGCTTGCAAACGGCTCGTTTAAAACACGATGAAACTGAAAGAGAAAACCCTTTTTATTGGGCAAACAAGCTTAATTTAATCACCTGTTAAGTATAATTCACTGTTTGTGTGAATGTTTGACGAAAATGTTACTTATCTATAAAAGTGAACAGGATCAACAGGTGTTATAATCAATCGTAACGGTTTTAAGGGTCCGTCACCCTTTCATGCTGATGATTTCCTGAATGAAGGGGCTTTGTTGTGTTCATGCTTGATGGAAAGTCTCTCGCTGCCCTCCAGATGCTTACTTTTTTGAGTGTGTGTGTGGGTGTGTGTGTGTGGAACCAATTTATCACAAAGCATAATCACAGTAACAAGTGAATGTATAACCTGTTGTTGGTGCAAACGTGTAGAAAAGATGATCTGAAGCCCTTTGCCTTATTTTACACTGCCTATCAAATGGTGTGTTTCAGGAAGACATTTGTCAGGTGATTACTTTTGGCTGATGAGTGTCTACTAATAAACTGTCTTTTAGCATTTTCGGTGTGCTCGCATCGTTATTTTTTGTTGTTTTTGAGTCCGAACACATTCGTGAAAGCTGGTGTTCTGAGATGAGTCTCAAAGGGATGTGGCGGTGAGATTGCACCTGAACAGGTCTCCAGTTCATCAGAGGACCACATGAAGATTACCATCTATTCACTAACACCCAAAGCTCATTTAGAGCCAAAGTGCTGGTTCATGTGGGAGGATTTAAAAACGTGACCATAAAAAGGTCACAGATGTAACCGTTTTGGTCCTGCTTGTGTGAGGTGCCGTAACACGGCTAAAACGACACGCCCCAAAAGAGCCGATGCGCATGTAGCGTCATGAATGGCCTCTAATTTGTGACAAAGGTCACACGTTCCCAGCTGGGTCAAGCTGTGTGGAACTGTAACTTTGCCCCACAGATTAACCCGCCAGGAGCCGTGAAGTCTGCTGAAACAACGTCTTCATCTGCTGCTGTTCCGTCCCAAGATGAAGGACACCAACATTTCACAATAATAATTTTAAATAATAAATTTAATAAACTCTTGACTTTATTACTGTTTATTACAACCATCATAAATAATCTCTTGGTTCAGTATGAATGTATTTTCATTACTGAAATGGCTTATTATGCTTTGAATAATATAATTATTTATGATAATCCGTAATGCGTGTTCAGTAAACCAGAAGGTCATCTTGCACGTTAACAACCTCATGCAGAGGGTATCCAGGGTAAAGGGTAAACCACCTCACATCTTTATTTCATGACCAAGCTTTCTGACGCTGACAGGGCGTGTTCTGAGGGTTTTGTTAAAACCAAATCCTGCAGCTGTAAGTTCAGTTCTTGAACCATACCAGGAGAAGAGGGACGGCCGCCCAAATCTCTACTAAGCATTCTGTCACGCCGATAGTCTTGCTTCGAATAAACGCACCTGTAACCAGCTGACGCAAAACTCCTTCAGAGTTGAGCCAGACGCTCGACACCGTGTACCCGCAACATCTCTGGACCAGCGAGTCGGTTCTACTTGGGTCTTCTCTACCGGACCGAGTACCTCTGAGGCTGACAACATCCTCCTTGACCTCCGGATCCACACAGAGGGTCGTCTTGCTGGGCGAGGTAGCACACAGATGGCGTCTGATGCTGTTCTCTCTCAGAAACGACTCAGTTAGCTGCAAAACCAACTTTCCACCCTGAGACGCTTCTCTCGCTGAAAGAAAACATCTGATATTCATTCACGCATCTAAAAACTCGCATTTCTCTTTAGCTTCCATTTACTCACAGGTTTGCCTTTAAAAACAAGCTTTAATATCAAAGCGGTTAAAAACTGTCATTTCAAGTTGTCATTTTTAAAAGTGTTAATAAGAAATTCTTAACTTTTAAAAACTCTGACTCTTCTTTGAAATGGAACACAGGATGGTGTATATTTTTGGTTATTGAAAAAGCAAAGATTCCTTTAAACTTCTGATTAAATAAATACACTTTTGCTATTAAATTTAATTATCTTAAATTAAACATTAATCTTTGGATTAAAATATAGATAAGACACTTAGTGTATGAACTTCTATCATCTGCATGAATATCCCAGATATTGGTGGATAATATAGGTTCACATGCTAAATGTCCAAAAAGCTGAGAGCAAACAGCATTAATTCGAGTACGTGGTTAACCACGCTACACACACATGAACGTTCCTCAGTCACGCGTGAACTCTCGCAAACCTCTCAAGATCAAACGAGACTTGGGAGTAAACAAACATGGCGGTACGATATACCTGATGCTTACGGCGTACACTTCCATCGCCTCGCCAAGTTTGTTCGCTCCGAAGTCACGTTTGGTCTTGCTAGATTTCCCATCTTAACAGGAATTTCCATGGATGTAATGAGATCAATAAGAGGGTGAATTGGATGAAATGAATTGCTTAAGAGCTATTTATTTTTATTGTCATCACTTGTGACCAAAGCTGTGATACTCTATAAATAGAATATCCCCTGCTTGGTCTTTAAATATGATTAGGCAGAAGATTCTAAAATTCTTTGTTTATTCGGGGACTGTAAACACTTTGTTTATAATTAAAGAACCAGGCATGTTTGCAATTAAATAAGAATTTATTTTACAAACAATTAAGCCTTGACAAACGGTTTAAAACTATTATTTACTGTGAACGGATGCGAAGATGGGCGTCTGGAAATAGGTGTGAATATAGTATTTCAGAGTCAAAATCTCCACATCTCAGAGAGAGGTGAGTTCTGGATAATAAAAGAATTTGGTTTGCATCTGAGCTGTAAGCCCTTCTTATCAAACTGCATGCAGACGCTAGCTCACTGTGTTCGACATACCCAAGTGGAGGCGCCCTTGCGGATCCGAAATGTAAGGGGGGTTGGAGACCCCGAATACAGAAGTCCGTAGACTAACTTATAGTACGACCAGGTCGGTCCAGGATCGCTTCCAGGTAACACAGGTGGACCGGATGGAACCAAGCGTCTCAAAACAACTCTGAAGGAGTGTCACAAAACCAGCTTTGTTCTGCAGGAAAAATATCTTGTTGTCCTCAGCTTAAGACTTTGACGGCGTGTCAAAATCCTTCTGGTTAGAAAGGCTGTGGCTCAGCTAAAGATGGCCAGTCTTAAAGCTTTGCTCTCCAACCTCGTTCTGTCGGATGTTCGGACTGAACTGAGGAGAAAGCAGAGCGGCTGGTTCTTATAGACCGCTGTTATCTTTACCAAGAGTTCTCAGAACACACTCCGTGATGCAGAGCCGCTGAGTCGGGGGACAAGGTTGATTTATGTGTAATGCATTCTTAAATTAGCCTTACTTCTTGTCTGGTGTGATGACCTAATGCAGGAAACATACTTCGCATCATTGAAACAGATTCATGAAACAGTCCATCATTAATAATTATACATGGCAATATTTAGTGATTATTAATCATCAAATCTTAGTTATAAGATCTTCTTTTCTTCAACGATTATTTTGAATCATAAAATGATTTCTTCAGTTATGAAATCATCTTTCTTCTGGGAATAAAGATTTCTCTAGTACAGTTCTCTTGTGAAGGATCCTGGAAAAGAAGGCTACTGTCATCCTTCATTATCTGATGAAGCTGTGTGCAGCTGATGAAGTCATCTGATTAAAGACCTTGTGCGCAGACACAAGACTCCTGCCAGGGTGAAATACTGTAGACGTGCTACAGGGTTAGATGAGCTCACTGTGCTTTTGACCTGTGGGATCTTTAAAGTCAGGCCATTTGGTGACGTTACACAGTTTGTGTGTAGTGGTGTGTCTGGTATATATGTGGTTCTTCGTCACTGTTTGTGCGCTCTCACGCTTTGACCATCCTGCTGCGTGAACCTGGCTCTAGCCAACCTGCATGTTTCCAGGATGTGGAAAACCGGAGGTCAGGGGCGGCGTTAGGCCCGGCTACTTGGGCTGAAGCCCCGTATGTTTCATGGAAAGCCCCGGATCTAAGTCGCAGAGGTAACATGCAGTACCAAAGTCCAACAGAGAGGGAGCCACTGGCAGTAGTTTGTATACAGCCTGCCTGAGCCTCCACCACTGAAGAAGAAGCCCTTCAGCAGCCGGCTTCTTCTACACTCTCTGTCTGAAACGCATGAGTGAAGATGGACATAAGGACGTTTTTTAGACCAAACGTACGGCGACAGAACCCCAGCTTTGATGAGACTGGTGCTGACTCAGGTTTGTGAGTCTAATTTGAAAATATTTGTTGTGCTGCTGGTTTGGCTAAAGTTAGCTTATCAGGTAAAGTTGTTGGAGAAAGAAAGGGAATATTTACTATCATCTCACACTAAACACTAACAGGAACAATACTCTGCCCTGAATATGCTTCATATGTAGCTTCAGATTAAAAATTATGTGGTACAAGACATATATGATGTTGACTAGTGCGTGTCACGTGTGTGTGTGCGTGAGTGTGTGTGCGCGCTCGTTCGTGCGTGCGCGTATGTGCGTGTGTTAAGCCCCGGATGTTCTTCAGTCCTTAATCCGCCCCTGCCGGAGGTGTTGTAAAAACCAACACACAAGGAAAGTAACTGGGGACCTTCGTGATGCAAAGCGACCCGGTCTGCAACTTTTCTTTAGTTTTTAATATTTAGTCATGAAAAACTGGAAACATAACAGAAATATGAATTTTAATGTGAAGATAACATCTCATCCTCAGGTGCCAGACGCCAGACTACAGAGCAGAAAAAACATCAGATGTCTGACTAAAAGCATCAGAACTAAAGGTTTCAGGAAAATCTGTCTGACAAAAAGACATTTTTAACACCTCTGATGCTATTTAATCAGACGTCTGGGTTTTGAATGAAACCTGATATTTTTTCCTCTGTGACACCTGAGACGTGAGGATGTCATAAAATGAACACCTTCATGTTTAAGCTCTTAACCATATCAGGCTCAAAATAAGTTTGGATAAAAGGACGAACATCGAAGTCCTTCAGGGGAACTTCTGAGTTAAAAAATGCCCATGAAGTAACCAGTAGGTAGGTTTTAACGTTGCAAATCTGCAACGCCTGCCTCCAGAGGGTTAAAATGCTAGACCACACGCATCAGGGTCAGCGTTTACAGTCTGACAGCCAGTGGGTTGGTCACTGAGGTAAAGGTTCATGAGGAGCAGATTCAGGACAAAGTTTTAAATTATCACTCAACTGTTTAACCTTTATTTCTTGAGCATTTTGCACAGAATGACAAAAGTGCTGCACATCAATAAAATCACTGTAAAAACAGTAAAAAGCATTAAAACCAAACAGTGTAGCAATTATATAAAAGCAACACACACACACACACACACACACACACTCTCCTGATTACAGGTAAAACATTTTAATAAGCAGCAAGAGGTGAAAAGTGTGTCAGTCATCAGGAGTTGAAAATATCTGGAAATGGGTGCTGCGTCTGCAGTGATGCGGGCGTTGTACCGGTGTGTCGTGGTGAAGAGCGAGCGATTTACCGGTCGAGCTACGTTCCTACCCTCACCTATGGTCACGAGCTTTGGGTA